GGGTAAGGGGTAGAATTGGGATTGGCCCTAAAATGAGCGCTCTTTACTTGGTGTAATTCTTTGCAACTTGTGTAAGTGCTCCTCTGTCGACATACTGTGAGCTTAGAATTATAAGGTTCTATCTCCGTTTAGGGTAGTTCTGAGATATCGAGCATTGAAGTTTTTACATCCCAGCTGGCAAAACTGTTATGTAGTATAATCTTCTATTATAGCTTTATCTATTAATCTTTTTTTTTTACAAAAGTAACACCACACAGGCATTAATAAACACCTAATGGATCAGATTGTGTCAAAAACTCAATTTCGACCAAAAGTGGAGATAGAATCTTATAATTCTAAGCTCACAATCTACTGTTTATACTGGTAATTTCATGTCTTTTTCATTTTAAACAGAAGCGTGCTTGACATGTGTTAGTTTTCCTACATCTTAACTTTTAGTTTTACAAATGGGGGCAAATCTTTGATAGATGAACAAAATGTTTTGGTCACTACATTTAAACTGGATAGTGTGTAGAGCTTTGAAGTGCTGGAAAAAGTGTGAAGCACTTGAAAGTCCTTGCATTTCTCTCAAAAGGTTGTGCAAACCCTGAAATGAATAATGTAAAAACATTTGACTATTTCTGCCACAATACCATGATTACAGTTAGATTTACCACAATAAATCCAAGGTGAATGTTGGTGATTTGTGGAGGGAAAAGCCTTCTAACTTGTTCATGGCACAATGTCAGCGCTGTTTGATGTGATATCTTTTGGTTTATAACAGAATTCTGCACTGAATTTAAGCGTTTCTCACTAGTTCTCGCAGCAATGTTATTAATTTGACTGCGAATTAAAATGATTTCTCACTAGATCTCCCAGCTAACGGGTGTTGTGGGATCAGGATCGGCCCTCGACTGAATCTGTTCTGAGCTTCTCAACCGAGTAGTGGGGTTTTGTTTCCACTTTCGTTTGACTGAAACGACAGCTTTTGAGTTGGGGAACGTGGCGGCCGCACCAGTGAGACCTCTATCAAAATGTAGTCGCACCGGCAGGAAAAATGGTCAAACCATTCGGTTGCAGTCTGGAGCCCTGCCCTCATGAAAACAAACAAGTAAAATTACAAAAAAAATTTAAATTACATAACCAAGACTACTTACATTAGATGCTGACGTTACCTGTCTACTGACAGAACAGCGACAGCAAAAGACACATAGCAAGGGAAGCCCATTGCTCTTTTTAATAAAGAAAGAAAAAAAATAAATAAAAGGAAAAACTAGCGGGTAGCTACATAAATTTGTTTAACCTGACCAATATTTCGTTCAACATAAAAACCAATGGGTTTCCTCACCATCACCCTGGTCTATTGGCAAAAGGCAGCTGTCATCATGGCTTCCGGTTAGGTCAGCCAAGGGTCAAAGGGCAAAGGTCACACACACATTGTAAGGTGAAAGCCAAGGCCAAACGGGACAGGCAGTCATCTTAGCCTCAATGGACTCGGACTCAGCCCGCACCGGACTCTTTTAAATTGAAACATCAAGGACTTTTGTTAATGTTGAATTCAGATGTAAACACAAAATCGCATCGTCACACGTCATACTGTTTACATGCCAGTGAGGCTTCAGGTTCTGGCACAAAACAAATAAAACAAACTCATTACTAAATCTATTAGCTAGAATAGATTTAGAGCTGGACCAATACAAAGTGGAAACAGCCCATCATCTGACATGTAAACATCTTTAGTCCCTAACTTTTTAAGTTATACTGCACATTCTCATGACCTTTGGCATTTAAAAAAATGGGCCAAAACTACAAAAGCATCTTTTAAGGGAATCCCCTTTTTTTTTTAAAAAAAAAAAACTCATATTTCAGGACCATCTGCATTAAAGAGAACATAAGATATCCCAGAAGCCTTCGATCTGGACCACAGGAACTGCAGACTTCAGAGAAATGTAGTTAGTCACTGGATGCAGGTGCAAATGCCCTCCACTGGAAATTAAAACAGTTAGGCTATTATTCACCTCCACTGTTTCCTCGTGCCTGAGGGGGAAGATAAAAAGAGAACAGGTTTGTCGAGATGATGAATGAGAGTGTACTTACTGCGGCCACCGCCCCCATAACCCCCACCGCCACCGCCACCGTAGCCATCTCGGTCTCGCCGCGGTCCTCTCGCGTGCTCCACGATCACACGCTCGCCGCACAGATCTTTACCGTTCAGCTCGTACACGGCATCATCCGCGTCGCGGTTGTCTTCAAACTCCACGAACCCATACCTAAAAAAACGATAAATCACACTTGGGTTTAAACAAAACGTTGGGTTTTTTTGTGATTCTTTAGTTATTAAACAATTTATGCGTGTTACTGTGTGTGACACCTCAATTTCCATATGTGTTTTGAGTGATCTGAACCATTATTTCCACAATTTTCAAACAATTTATGAAGCAGACATCCAATTCAGAAGTAGTATGGGAAGTTTGGCAGATTTCGATATGAATTCTACAACTAAGAAATGCATACAAAGAACACGCATGTGCGTTACAGCTTCCTGCCACATCACAAATGGTGAATTCATTATTTTTTCTTTATATTTAAAACATTTTCAGACCTTTTTTTCTAAAACAAATGAATGGATGCAATCAATTTGAACTCTTGGCATGCAAACAATCTGAGGTTTCTACCTTTTTTCATGTTCATCACTGTATCAAAATAAAGGTCTGAACACGCCTTAGCAGTATAAAAATATTCTTTTTGCAAACTGATAAATTGCGGCTCTGTCATTTATTTTGAAAATCAGTCACCAAATATGGAAACTAGAGATTGTAAGCTTTCAAATGATTTATTAAAATGATTTGTCAATATAACTTAAGGTCTTTTCTAAGAAATTATTGTTTTAAAAATATAATGGCAACAGGTGGGACGGTGAGAGTAAATGCGTGTAAAAAAAGAAAACAAAATACGTTTAAATTGTTTTAAAAGACAATTTAAATTGTTTTAAAAGACTTAAATTGTCAGGGAAGGTGCCACTCTGATCTCAAAGGTTGATCCATAACCATGGTCAAACCACAGAAAACACTTGATGCTCTCTACGTTTGAGTCGTGAGTGTGGGACTTGAAGATTACTGATCTAAATCCAACAGGAAACATGTTTGCGCGGTGTGAATTGGCCTTAAAGTGAGGTACATACTTTTTAATTGTTAAAAAAACAATCATGATATTATCGTTGATGATATCACACACCCCTTGACAGCAATAAAACTTAGTAATAAACTGCGTTCTCATGAGTCATGCATGTAAGGGTGCTGAACAGTGAACACTGTTACAGGAAACTCCAGAGTAGTAATAAGCAGAACGTGCAAGTGGTCCATTCTTATTTTTTTATGGCATTATGCAGTATTTTATCAATGATTTATCTGTATTTTTACTCATTCTATGGTCAAAATAACTCCCCCCCCCCCCCCCCCCTGCAGCAACATCCATTTTCTTCCCCGATGACGTGTTTACTGGCGCAAGGGCGGGGCTACCTGTTACGCATCCACCAATAAGCAAACAACCAAAGCCACTTTCAGGCTACAGAATCGGATATCCCTCACCGTCACAATAGGGCAGAAAAGACTAGGAAAAAAATTCAGATTCAGGCTCACTTTAAGTGGACAATACCATCAACCGATGTCCACAAAAAGGCAATGTTAGGAATCGATGGAAAACGGCTTTACAACAGTATACGACTAACGTCGTGAACCATTTAAAAACAAGTGTGAAGAAATGAGTGCAACTGTCAGGTTACGGATGTAAAGATTTCATACATTTTCTCCATGAGGAAATTGATTTTGAACTGTATTATAAACGGGGTCGTATTATGTATAAACGTATTATGGCATATGCTTTTGCGGTCTTGATTTCAACTAATTAAAATAATTCTGCTTGAAAAATGGTGAAAAACTAACGTTACACCAGGCCAGGGGACAAGTAGCTAACTTACCCAAAGACTTCGTCAAAATGGCTTTTGAAAACGTATTCTATATATTCTGTAGATTACACATTTTGTTTAATACAATTTAAATAGCTTCAAGCTGCTCTTTGTCAACACAAGGCCAAAAACGACCGCCATATTGGCCCGAATGCATAGAACATTGTGATCATTCAGGGCCCATGTTACATAATGACAAAACAGTGTGAGAATCATATTAATATGCTTCTCCAAAAGCACGGCCTTTTTAATGAGCATTTATAAATACAAAAGCTAAGTGTGGGAGAACTAATGCGAGCGACACACAAACAACGGCGCACAGCAATAACGTTATGAATCCAGGTCATCAGCACCATTGCATTTGTTCACTCTACATACTAACTTCAGTTGATATTTTCGTTCATATGCGATCATTTACTTATTGTGCATCAGAATCGAAGCACAATGTAAAATCGTATATACCTTTATTATCTGCTGTATAAAAGTGGTTCACGCGCTGAGGACAACAAATGTCCGCCATTTTAAGCACGCGGTGAGAGCCGCTGTCATACGGATAAAATCAAGAAGACGCCACATTAAGCATTTAAATTTTCACTTAAATTCAATATCGCAAGCATTACGAGGCATTTAATGTCCATAAACTCATTGAAGATGTAAAGTTGGTCTCGCTAATAGGCCATTGTTAAGGCCGCGGCGCGCTCCACAAAAACTTACCCGTTCTTCAGATCTATCTCCAAAAGCTTCCCGTACCCGCTGAAAAACCTCTGTATGTCTTTCTCCCGCACATGATAGCTCAGCCTGCCGACGTACACTCGGGGCATGGTTAATGTTGAGTAAATACCAAACGAACGAAACCCTGTAGCTTTATTCGCTACCGTTCTCTTCGGAATGGCCACCTAGCGGATTACTGACGTCACTTCCGGCGTCTCCTCGCGCATGTTTTTTTTTTTTTTTTGCGTTACGCTAGAGACCATAGACATTATATTTATTATGTCTATGCGAAACATAGACATATGTATGCTAAAGACGATAGTTGACGAATGTACTACCACACAACCTCAGATTGGTTAGTTTAATAATAAATGATAAATAATTACATTTCTTGTTTACACTTCGAAATTGTCAACATTCACAACTTGCAGTGTATGACTCGAGTTTGTGTCATTTAAGACTTACTTGGGGGTAACTTAACCCCATTGTTCATAAGCAAAGACATGTCTTCATCATTCTGAACAGGGTTAGCCTAAATAGACAATTTTAGCACAAGGGACAAAAAAGCAAAGCATGTAAGTGCTGTTATGCCATATTCTACGGAACTGGAATCTTGAAATTGATTGTGCATTGTAATTATGTTTAAATGTATTATTCATTTTTTTTTTACAGTCTATGGTAATATGAGAAATAATACATTTTTAAAAAGTCATCTTGGCAATAAGGCATCTCAAGAATTCAACACTATTTAACAGCATATTTCAATCCTCTATAGTTTACTCAGAGAAACTGCCTTGACTCGTATCACTCCCTCTTGGGCACAAGAAGCTGCGAGAACACCGTCCTGTCTCCACAAACGGCCTTGGACGAAGCCTCTGCTGCCGCCTGATGGGAAATACAGGTGTATTGGACCAATGTATGAACATACTAATAGTGTTTGTTCATTATCATCATATACTCATCACTAGCTATGTTTCCATGCAAAGTTGCAATTTTAACTTATGCACAAAATTGGAATATCACGTAAAACATTTGCGAATCAAACAACACGTGTTCAAGAGACCAAAATCCTAGCACAAATTATATAAATAAAATGGAAGTTGCTGCATTCGGGTTATTTTTTCCTAAAAATCATAAATGAGTTAGTCTCAGAGCGTCTCTTGAAACACAATAAACACTGTCATGTTTGTTCTCTTGCATTCAGATACTGGTGTTTGGGAACACAATCGTGTGAGAAGCTTCTGGAGGGAATTAAACCAAATCATTCTGATAACAGACTTTGACTTTGGCGTTTCAGATACAGCAAACCAACATGTGAGATGCTGCGATGTGATTGGTCCGCTGGTTATTCCAATTATCCAATCACAGCCTCTGATGAGGTAAAGTCACACGAGGTTTTTGTTCCGCATCAAGAGATTTATTCAGTAAATGTGTCTCCATCTTAGCTTATGCAAGTCTTCTTATAGAATAAAACAATTATACGGCTCAAATGAGTGCATTATTTTGAAGAATTTAAAGTCTCCCTGTAGTCAATAATCATATTCCTTAAAACTCATCTTTGACCACCAAAATTACATATTTAAAAGTTTTTTTCCTCAGAAAAATGTCTTCATGCCTTAAAATAGTTGAATGTAACTCGATACCCTCGCCTCATTTAGTATGCATTGTTCTATGAATATGCAAATGAACCTCGTCTCGACTCAGAGATCCACTGGTTGACGATCACACATTGATCTGATTGGTCACAAGGTAGTTTGTGACGTCAGAAACACCAGTGATTTCAAACCGTGTTTTTGAGACTGTCTTTGGTTCACTGCAGCTTTAAGGTGAAAATACTCAGCAATGCTGTCGACTTATGAATTTACACATGGTTTGTCTTAAAGCAGATTAAAAACACCACAGAGACACATAAACAACATTAAAAGCTGGATATTTACCACAGGGGGACTTTAAACACATGTTGTTGTTTCTATTCGGCATGTTTTTGTGCGATATCCCAATACTCACATTAAAAATCTGGGATGGAATCATGCGGTACATTACTAATGAACTACGTAAACATGCAAGAATGGATGGAAGCTACTGACCTGACCATGGGCTTTCACATTCATAAAGCATCCACTCGTCTGCTCTGAATGTGCTGTGAAACCACATGGCGTGATCCAGAGAGGCGGAAAACTGAGCCCTATGATTTGGGTACGGTAACAGTGCCGTCCCCAGGAAAGCGTAGTCCGATACATACGCTGCCACACAACAGTGCAGTTTCATGTCACCAGGTCCTAAAACACAACACATACAACATTCAGAAATATTAAACAAGTACAATCAATATCCAAAATTAACACAACAGGTTTTTACTTGTAAATATAACATATTTGCAATTTTTTTTGCATCATTATTTTTAATATTTTTGAATTGCATCATTATAAGTGGTTTTAACTATAAAGAAGTGGTGAAGATGACATGCTTATTTTACCTATATGTCCTCTCGCTCGCACCCAGAATAAATTCTTTGGTTCCATGGCAACATGTCTATAAAAATCAGGTGGGTTGACAGGCTTGATCTCTATAGGAACTTCATCAGCAAGTATTTTATTTAGGCCCTGTCGCGTATTATCAGCCAGGTTTGGATCACTGTAAAGAAAAAAACAGTCAGGGTTTGAAATGAACACCCACCAAATGCGGCTAAACACCAACTGTGGCGAGTGACACTGTCAAATCATGAGCCAATTTGGTGTTTGGTGTTGTAGCCGAGACTTTTCTTTATGTGTGCAGATGTGACGTAATGACTCAATATAGCTTATAGTAGCCGAGACTCTTCTTTATGTGTACAGTGTGACGCAATGACATGCTCGAATTTCCTGCGGAAATCCACCAGTACCACTGGAATTAAAAACATTATTAAAAGCTTACAGTTTTAAATCAAGCCAAGGCAAGCAGAGAGTTATGAACACTGGCTGGTTATGTACTTTTACTTGTACTTTGTAAAATTTAGTAGCTAAATTGGCCGGTGGGTGAAAAAGTTTATTTCAAACTCTGCATAATATATGACTTATAATATCAATTGACTATGGGAAACACATAGTTCTGTTCTGAGACCTGAGGTAGCGCTGAATGAGTTCCTCGACGGTGAGCAGTGTGTGCGGTGGAGGTACGGTGGGCATGATGAACTGATGCTCCAGTGGACTTGGCTGCTGCATGTGAAACGAAGCCTGACAGATCAGTATGGGCTGACCGTGCTGAATGGCTTTCACAGATCGCACACAGAAACTGCGGCCATCCCGAGTCCTTTCCACCTGGTACAGCACAGGTACTTTCGGGTCCCCTGAACACACAATTATTGAGAAATAAAGGGAAAACCGAACTTTTCATGTGTGATTAGATATCTGAGTTTAGATCTGAGTGTACCTGCTCTCACAAAGTAGCAGTGCAGTGAATGAGCATAGAGATGTTCACTGACTGAATTGGCTGCGGCTACAAGAGCCTGTCCAACAATCTGGCCACCGAAAAGGCGTTTAGTGCGAGGAACCCAGTGATGTGTCCCTCTGTAAAACATGTAAAACAAAGAAAAACATGGTAATAGCATGGGACCCTTTATTAGTTTAGAAGCCCAGCTGACAAAAATATATTCTAAGAACATTTTCATAAAGCTGCTATTGAAGGGTTAGTTCACCCTTGAATATGAAATGAAAATTATTCCAGAATATACTCACCATCAAGTTACTCTATGTGTATGTCATGATGTGACTTTCTTCTTTTAGCCAAACACAAACAGAGTTATATTAGAAAATATCATTATCGCTCTTCCCTGCTTTATAAAGTTATAAATATGGACATTTTGCTAACAAAAATGCACCACTTCGATTCAGAAGGCCTTTATTAACTCTCTGGAGCAGTATGGATTACTTTTATAATGGATGAATGTGCTTTTTTGGGGGCTTCAAAATCTAGGGTACCATTCACTCCAATTAGTTACAAATCTTGGAAGAGCTGAGATATTTTTAACAATGCATATTGTGTTTTCCAGAAACAAGAAAAGTCATAAACACCTAGGATCGCTTAAGAATGAGTAAATACCCCATGGAATTATTTTATTTTTGGATGAACTATCCCTTTAAAACGTTATTACTGAATGTTCGCCGAAAGTTCAAAACATTCCAGTTTGAACGTTACAGTTTCTTTGGATGTTTTCTTACGAATGTTAACATTCCATTTTAGAATTTTACAAACATTATTGATGTTACTTTTGAATGTTAAAAGAACGTCCAACTAAAACGTTCCAGAAAAAAAACGTTCCATACAGTTTTTGTGCTGACGTTTTGAGAGCATTATTAAAGATCAGATAACTCACTGGAAGCATGTTACTGGTGCTAAGTAACTAAATCTAATAGACTCAATATTTTGAAAAATACATTTGTTTACCTGTACAGGTCGATGTCGAGCTTTTCTAAATTCAAAACACTTGTAACCAGAACACTTCTGAGATCAGCTTTACCTAAATTATTTGCTACAATGTCATCTCGAGATTCACTACCGCGTTCAGCCATATTTACTGTATCTGTGTGGAGGACTGATCTTCTGAATCGATTCAAAAGCTTTTTAACGATTCATTTGCGTCATCAGTCAAAATGTTCACGGAATTACTGCCCTAAAATATTTTAGTATTTTTTTCTTGGTAAATATTGCCAAGTATTGTTGTATTGGTGCATACAAATTAAAATTGTTACATTCGTAATTGTAGAAATCAGTTCTGAATCTTTGAATCAATTGAACCATGATTCACTGTTCTGAACTCAGAAGGAGAAACACGGCCCGATGAGGACATCTGCTGGCCAAATGAGTCATAACTCAAGCAGCATTTCAAATATATTAATAACATTTGCATATGAATGCTATTTTTACAGAAACATAAATAAGTCTGCAATGTCCTAAAATAATTTCATTAATAAATCTTTATAGAAGATGTAAGTTAGAACCCAAAGTTATATAACAAGCGAGTGATATAGCTATAAATGCTTAAAATAAAGGTAGTGGTTTTGTGCAATACTTGCTTCATAGAACTACTCGTTGTATACCGTTTTCATCTCTAAATATCAGAAAAATATCAGTCCGACTCCGGCTTTCCTATGTAAAACCTACCGCATTTTGGCCATAGATTTTGGCGTGCTGTGTTTTGGTGACTTAGTTGATCGATACCAAATTTAATATCTGCTGATCGGACAAAATTAGTGTGAATCAGTCTGATTTTTATCGATTATAGCCTATCAGACTATTCTTGCTTTAAAGCTTGATCAAATTGTGGCATGATCATCAGACGTGTGTGTGGCTCCACTATCATAAAGAGCCCACAAGAGGGCATCACATGTTAAGCAATCATTCAAGAGTTCCTCTAAGTTCTCTTGAATGAGCAAGTCAAATAACACTGATTATGTGACATATCACGGTTTTTAATAGAGCTAAACGAGACGCCACCTTATATAAAACCAAGATGCCACATGGATTCTTGATTAACACATTAACATGACACATTAAAAAGCAATTCATTTTTAATTTAAAAAACAATAAATGAATAAAACAATACCTATAACATAATAAATTCTAATAATAATGATGATAACCCGATGGTCCCCCAGATGTGCCTGCTCCCCATCACCAGCACGCGCGCGCACATGCACGCGCACGCGCGCTCTCCTCCTCCAGCGCTGCTGTTGCTGTCAAAGTGAATCACATCCATCGCTCGCTGCTCATACTCCCGCACGCAGATTGGCTTCTCTGTGTTTTGTGGTGTGTTTTCATCTCCATGGCCACATCAGAGGCACCAGGAGATCGCGTTGTGCAGAGAGGAAGATCTCGAAGTGACCCGAGCATCATTACCGACACGCGTGTCGCTTACACGAACAGCACAGGTGAGGATATATATGTATATTTATGTGTGTGTGTATCTGTTTACTGCATATATCTGACTGTACTGCGCACGGAGAAGCAGCTGCAGTTTTTCGAGAAACCACAACGCTGGCATGACTGGCATGATGTATTTGCACATTCTGAGCCTGATGATGACATATGCATCATTGACATGTTCATGCTCGTGCACTGCGAACTGTGTTGAGGTGCTGGTGCTGATGCTGCGGTGACGCGCCGGGCTTCCCCGTGACTGATGGATCAGCACATCCATGATGTGAGCTGGTTTCAAGATAAACCTGAAGAGCTTCTCTGCATTTGCCCAGTCACAGCTGTGAATCGCTGTCTTTGACTGACCTTTACTTACACTGAGTATGTGCGGTAGATTGAGATTCGTGCTGCAGCTGAAGGACGAACGAATGAAGTGAATCATTATTTCAAGTTACAGAGTGTTTGCAATGGCTTCATTAAAGCGGATGAATGCAATTAGCCAAGACAGGCCTAATCTATCACAAAGATCCTTTTCCAATAAGTGGCAAATTGGAGTTGTTCAGTGTTGCTTCCGTCCTAGTTCTGTGGTGGTGGTGAAAAGCAACGCATTCTCACCCCAATTCTCTTGACCATGCTTCAATATTTGACGTTTTAGGCGCCCTTTAGCGTCACGTACATGACGCGATCCTACGGCGTCATCTAACTGACGCTAAAGGGCGCCTAAAGCGTCAGATATTGAAGCGTGTCCAAATGCTTCAGTTAAGTGACGCCTTGGGGGTGAGAATGGGCTGTGAAAAGGCATTAGTATTTGACGCAATTTGTTATTATTTCTACAAACTTATGTGCATCCCTTTCTATTGGAGTGTGGAAACTCTTCACCCTGAACGGCTAAAGTGGGATTAGTGATTGAAATGTGTTAAAAGCCCTTTGTTTGGACACAGACAGGTGGTGTACATGTATCCTTGGATTTGGAGCTGATCACACTGTCCCAGTAATATGTTGACATATTGCTGAACTGACTTTCCCCAATGATGTTGGAGACTGCGGTACAATTTCCGCTGATCAAAACGATGATCCATTTAGTTTGGACGCTATAGGAATGTGTCCCTACTAATATCCAGTAACACTGATATATCCCTAACTTCAAATATATTTATATATTGATGCCACTGCTTATATTTTTCTGTACATGTTTGTTATAAGGCTGCTTGGTGTTGCATTGTGTGATGCTGATGTAACTTAATATTACCACTTTACCTGTAAAGTGAAAATAAGAGAAACAACTGGCAACACTTTCTCAATCTGGCAAGCCCAATGCGAATAGAAGTGTGCTTAAATGTACTGAATGTGCTTAAATGTACTAGTCAGTGTACCTCAAAATCCATGTGAAGATAATAATGAAATGAGACCACTTTAAAGAGAGGACACTTTCAAAAATGCACTTTTTTGTAATAATTTTTTTGTTTTTACAGTTTTAATAAAAGTATACTTATTTTGATGTGTTGACTAATAAAGCATGGAAAGTGCTTGATTATAAAATGAATGTAGTGTTTTTTTAACATTTAAAGTTTGTTTAATATGCTTAGCTGCAACTTTATTATTACAAATGTGTAATTACACATATATGTTCAAATGCAAGACACACTAGTTTCAGATGAAATGACATTGAAGTATATTGTAGTTTATCATAAATGCTTATCAGTGCATTCAGCAGCACACTACCATATTTCAATAATAACAAGAAAAGTAACTATGAAATGATATGTTTATGCAAATTAAATTACATATAAATATATAAATTAGACCTGTTAAGAGGGTTAAAAATATCTCTAAAGCATTTCATATAAATCCAAACTACATTTTCATTTAATTGCAATTAACATCAATTTAAGTGTCCGAAAACAATATTCACTTGGCTTTTAAAGGAGTAGTTCATTTTTGAAAAAACTTTTGCTGATAATTTACTCACCCCCATGTCATCCAAGATATCCATGTCTTTCTTTCTTCAGTCGAAAAGAAATTAAGGTTTTTGACGAAAACATTCCAGAATCTTTCAGCATATAATGGACTTCATTGGGAACCAAACGGTTCAAGGTCCAAATGAGAGTTTCAGTGCAGCTTCAAAGGGCTTTAAACGACACCAGACGATGAATAAGGGTCTTATCAAGCGAAACGATCGGTCATTTCAAAAATAAATAACATGTTTAAGTTTTATAAGCACAAATGCTCGCCTTGCTCTGTTCTGTGATGAGCGGTCATGACTCTCCTGTTCAAACTCATCAAAATGAACAAATCATTTTTCGAGTCATGACTCGAAGGGTCCTAGATAAGGCAATTATTCATCGTCTGGTGTTTAAAGCCCTTTGAAGCTGCACTGAAACTCTCATTTGGACCTCGAACCGTTTGGTTCCCAATGAAGTCCATTATATGGAGAAAATGCTGGAATGTTTTCATAAAAAACTTAATTTCTGTTCGACTGAAGAAGAATGACGTGGACATCTTGGATGACATGGGGGTGAGTAAATTATCAGCAAAAGTTTTTTTTTTTTTAAAAGTGAACTACTTTTAAGGCACATTATGCAGGAATTCCGTTTTTGTCAAACAGTGACCCCTAGAGTCGCTGTGGAGTACTTGTATTTAATGTTACTGTCGTAAATACCACTCACGCAGAGCGTCTCTGCAGTCACAGCCTGATAGCCATCTGTCATATTGAGGTACAAATCTTGCATATTGTGCATTTTTTTTTGCATTAAATAAGAGATCTAGCACAAAAAAAATGTGTTTTTGAACTCTTTTCCTTTTCCTAGTCTCTTCTGACCGTGTTTTCTTTGCTTTTTCTATCTTTGAGTATCACGTCTGAAATGTTGTGGTTGATGTGTGTGACGTCGTTGACGTAAAGCATGTTGTGATTCTCGTGAGATTTGTCGGGGGCGCTCCTCTCAAACTTGCAATGCTGTTTTTTTTTCCACCTTTACTATCAGGATGATTCACCCTACTATGAGAAATGACTTTGAAGCTGTTATCTTGCATAGAGTGCCTTTAAGTATAATATCTTAAAGTATATTTCCATAAGAAGTATTCTTTTAAATATTCTGTTAAAGTGTTTTAACTTTTACTTTATGCAAAAAGTTTGTGTTTACAAGCTACTGGGCAAAAACAATCTGCAATTTTGATAGAATTGATCTCTGATTTGCCGAATTTCAGCAGGTTAGTGCCTTCAAAACTCCTGCATGAACTTCTGAAGCTCCGCTGGTGTTAAAAGTCTTTAATCCCAGAAACATGTAGATGAAGTCAAAAGTATTATTAGAAGGGACTGATTCAAACCAGGGTACCATTTTTTAAAAAAAAATCAAACTGCACATTTTTACTTTTACGGTGTTTCAGCGGATCTGACAGGGAACACACACTGATAAAAACATTGAATACCTGTGAGCTGCTTTGATTAAAGCACAATTTACCATAAATCTGTGGAAGATACTCAAGACTGACTCAAGTACTACAACACTGCTTGTTAAGGTCGACAAGAAATTGAATTGTGCTGCTCAAACAAGAACAAATGTGGACGGGGCTTGATTTTGACTGTGAGGAATTGATTGGATGGTTGTGGTCTGTTATTGGTGGGTCTCATGTGTGTGACAGGTTGCCCCGCCCTCGTCATCAGAGAA